GCATTCATTACACAACAAACTTAATTGGGCATCACCTCTTGAAACAGTTACCATAAATCTCCCAGACCTTCCCTGGTAGCTGTATTGCTTTCAGTCTTCCTTTCTGGTGATTAGCAATACTTTTCATGTTTAAGCTTTCCTTACCTTGGACTGACTGTGATTTATGACTGTTTTACTTCTTGCTGGCTTTGCTTATTTAAACTACATACTTGCTGAACAACTTCTTGACCAGCTGATGATCACTCTTGTTTTTCCATTCCTTATGCTGAATAACCTGTGACTGGTCCATATTGAATGAACTTAGCACTCTTACAGTCTTCTTTGGTATAAAAGGGAGTTATAAATAAACATAAACATAATAATAATATAGTTCCTAAATCACTTGCTTGTTCCTGGATCATTTGCTGATAGGAACATAGGACAGTATGCTAGACAACTACCAACACTCAGCACAGCAACTGGCATAATTTCTTGTGGATTATGATATCAGTCTCATTGTATTCTCTGTAATGTCTCCCCATTAAAAACCTGTAAACTGAATGTCACTGGCAAAAGTCATGGCACTTGGTCAGAAAAACAATCTTGCAGACTGATTTACTCATTAGCCATAGCAGCCCAAATGAAATACCCCCCCCCCTTTTTAAAAAAAGGCCTAGGAATTAATTTTCTGCTTATGTAATTCCTAGAAGGCAGATCTAGATTTATTCAAAGGAAGCAACTAAGATTATATGTAGCTTCTATCTTGTTTTATGCTGCAACTGCGTTGTATATGTTCTATTGTTTCTACACCAGTGCAATAGGCTATCAGTTTTCTAACGAAGCTCAAATGTTGTTGTTGTTTTTTTGAAATGCCATTAGGAAGACAAATGTTTCTGTTTGTTTGCTCGTCCTTGTCAGTAGAAGACAAAATTAAAAATGTATAAATCACAAAAACAACCATTTTTCTTCAGATTGTGGATTACATGTTCTGTGTTTGACTCGGTATATATATATATATATATATATATGTGTGTGTGTGTGTGTGTGTGTGTGTGTGTGTATATATATATATATATATATATATATATATATATATAGGAAATGGCAGTTGGTTTAATGACTCAGTAATGAGAAAATATCTAATTAACATCGGTGTGGATTCCTTACATGCTGATTTCAAGGGTAATACATTTGAAACACAGTCCACTGACTTCCGTGTATGTAGGATTAACTCTTCAACATCTGGTATAGTGTGGCTTATGCCAAGCATTATTGGAGTTCAGAAGATTTCCTTCCAGCAATCTCCAATGTTGGCAGCTTTCCGAGATATCTATGGAATGAAAATTTGAATCTGCATGGCACACACATGCAATCTGCATGAACATACACTCCAGCCAAAATATGTTGATCCCATTAAAAGCAAAGGATCCCAGCCATCAACAAACTGTCCTGCTGAATCCTGCTGAAATGAATAAATGCTATGCAATAACCTGGGCTGAAATTAACCAAATGTCCTTGATAGGAATTTTAAACCTCCAACATTTCAAAAAGAACCCCGGGTTTCATGGTGGGGATCTCTTAATGGGGGAGAGGGGCATTTTGGGGAGCACATGCTCTGATTCTGGAAATCTTATGTTTGTCATGTGGATAAGAAAAGCAGTTAAAGGCATTTTTACTGAATCCATAAAATGTCAAAAGATGCTTGTTGACAAACCCCAAAAATCATGTGTGTGTGTTTACAAATTGTAAGTATTTTTGAGAAAAATATCTGCTTGCCTGTGTTAAGTGGGAAAAAAATCCTATGAGGTCTGTAGCAATGCTGGCTAGTTATTTGAGCATTGTGAGAAATGTGTTACCAGGTACCAAGTCCAAACCATTCAGCATCAGAAAGAACAGGTCCTCAAGTGACCCTCTGCAACGTGAGACTGGAGAACTAGTAAAGAACGAATCACATCCAAGAGGACAATGTATTACACTGGAACAAAGGCATGAGGGACCATTTTTTCCTCCAAGTTCCTAAGAATGGAAATATCAGTGTGCCCAAACATTTGTAGCTCATTACAATCAAATGAAGCTTTATTTATGACTTGGAAGTATGACGAACTTGAACCAAACCGCTTCCCTCATACAATCAGGGCATAGCAACTCTAAGGGATTCTCTCCCCCCCCCCCCCCCCCCCCCCAGTAAACCCACCACTGCTGCTGCGTTCTTCTTCATTAATAATGTTTGCCACCATGACCCTATTCAGATAGTGCTTGGACACATGCATCCTAGTGTTTATCTTGGAAGTACTGTATAAGACCATTTCTTTACATCCATAATTCCATTTTTTAAGAAAAAGAGAACGAGAGATGGTTGGACCAGCCAGTCTTCCATAGAAATGCCAACTCCATTTGACAGTGGCCCTGAAGGAGTTGCACCTGAAGTAAACTTACATGCTTAAGATGAAAGATAGGTGTGGACAAAGTGCAGTTCTGGACCACATGCAGCCCCCAAGGCTATTTTTGTTGTTTCCCAGCTTATCTCATTTCCCAGCTTATCTTCTTTCTTACAAAAAAAAAAAGGAGATGCTATGTGAACCCTGTGCACTTGGAAGTGTGTTCAACAGACTGTAAATCTATTGTCAAAAGCTTTCATGGCTGGAATCACTGGGTTGTTGTAGGTTTTTTGGGCTGTATGGCCATGTTCTAGAAGCATTCTGTCATGATGTTTTGCCTGCATCTATGGCAGGCATCCTCAGAGGTTGTAAGGTCTATTGGAAAGTAGGAAATTTGGGTTTATATATCTGTGGAATGTCCATGGTGGGAGAAAGAACTCTTGTCTGTTGGAGGTAGGTGCAAATGTTTCAGTTGGCCATCTTGATTAGCATTTGATGGCCTTGCAGGTTTTTGGTGTGGCTTGTTAGTGCCTGGGGGAATCTTTTGTTGAGAGGTGATTAGCTGTCCCTGATTGTTTCCTCTCTGGAGTTTCCCTGAGTTTGAGTGTTGTTTTACTGTTATCATTTAAGACTTTTAAAATACTGGTAGCCAGATTTTGTTCATTTTCATGGTTTCCCCTTTCTGTTGAAATTGATCTGGTTTATGGATAACTAGGACATCTAGAAAAGGCAGTCTTCCTTCATTTTCTTTTTCCATGGTGAATTGGATGTTTGGGTGAATCCTGTTAAGATGGTCCAGGAACCTGTTGAGTTCTTCTTCTCCATGGCTCCAAATGGTGAAAGTGTCATCCACATATCTGAACCATATAGTGGGCTTTTTTGTTGCTGTTTCCAGGGCTTGTTTTTCAAAGTGTTCCACGCAGAAATTTGCTATGACTGGGCTGAGAGGGCTCCCCATGGCTATTCCAACTTTCTGTTCATAGAATTCATTGTCCCACTGAAAGCAGCTAGTGGTGAGGCAATGGTGAAATAGAGCTGTGATATCTTCTGGGAACTTCTGGTTGATTAGTGCAATGGTGTCTGCTGCTGGAACCAATACAGTAGTCTATTTTGGATGTAACTAAGGCATGGACCACTATGGCCAAGTCAGGCTTTCTGAGGTACGGTTGCAGCTGGCATACAAATTTTAACTGTGCAAAGGCCCTCCCGGCCACCACCAACATCTGAGCCTCAAGCATCAGTGGTGAGCCCAGTAAGACCCCCAGACTGCAGGCCTGTGTCCTCAGGGGGGAGTGTAACCCCATCAAGCACAGGTTGCCACCCTATGCTCCGAGTGGCCTCATGAGGAGGACCTCTGCTGTGTCTGGATTAAGTCATAGTTTGTTTGCCCTCATCCAGTAGATCATAGCTGTCAAACACTGGTTTAGGACCTGGGGAGCTTCCCTGGAATTTGGTGGAAAAGAGTTGTAGAGTTGTGTGTCATCTGCGTAGAGAGGAGGGGGGAAAGGACGGGGCCTGAGGCTGTTAGGAATGGTGGGAGTTGGAGTCCAAAACACCTGGAGGGCTCAAGTTTGCCCAAGCCTGGTTGAATCTGTTGTAATGTTAGCTCCCTAACTATCTATTGCCAAGTGGTGCAATACAGCTTAATGGTGTAACATTAGAAAATGTTGACCATTTCCGTTACCTTGGCAGCCACCTCTCCACAAAAGTCAACATTGACACTGAAATACAACATCGCTTGAGCTCTGCGAGTGCAGCATTTTTCTGAATGAAGCACAGAGTGTTTGAGGACCGGGACATCTGTAGGGATACCAAGGTGCTTGTTTATAAAGCCATTGTCCTATACACCTGTGAGACGTTGACTGTCTACAGATGTCACATGCAACTCCTAGAACAATTCCATCAGCACTGCCTCTGCAAATCTCTTGGGAAGACAAGCGGACAAATTCCAGCGTGCTGGAAGACGCAAAGACCACCAGCATTGAAGCGATGGTCCTCTGCCATTAACTCCGCTGGACCGGCCACGTTGTCCGGATGCCTGACCACTGTCTCCCAAAGCAGTTGCTCTACTCCGAATTCAAGAACAGAAAACGGAATGCTGGTGGACAGGAAAAGAGATGTAAAGATGGGCTCAAAGCCAACCTTAAAAACTATGGCATAGACAACAAGGAAGGGAAGCCCTGGCCCTTGAGAGCCCCATCTGGAGGTCAGCTGTGACCAGCAGTGCTGTAGAATTTGAAGAGGCAGAAATGGAGGGCAAAAGAGAGAAACGTGCCAAGAGGAAGGCGTGTCAAGCCAACCCCGACCGGGACCGCCTTTCACCTGGAAACCGATGCCCTCCCTGTGGGAGAAGATGCAGATCAAGAATAGGGCTCCACAGTCACCCACAGACCCACCGCCAGGACACCGATCTTGGAAGACAATCCTACTCGCACAACGAGGGATCGCCTAAGTAGTAGGTGCAGGCCTGCCTTGGGCCCCATTCCTGAGGGATGCCCCTCCTTCCTTGTCCTCCTCTGACCTCTCTCGCAGCGGGTCCCCTCCCTTTTGGGGGAGATGTGGGTTCGTGTTGGGGCGCCCCCTTCCTCCCCCCCCCCCCCCATGTTGAGAAATCCCTCGCCTGGTTCCTTTTCCAGCAGCAGGCGGCGCTGTGGAGGCGGCGAAGGGATTGGGAGGGAGCCCAACCTGCCCGGCGGAGGTCAGTCCTCGGCAGCGGAGATGGGCAGCCGCTCTCCTCTTCCTCTTCCTCCTCCATCCTAGAAGCCTTTGGCCAAAATGCTCGGGGTTTCCCAACAGCAGCACCGGGCGCCTGGCCTCCTCGGGGCTGCGGCAGGGAAAGGAGCCAGGGAAGGGCCGCCTTCTTCGCCGCCGCCGCCGCCGCCTCTTCTGCTCTGGCTGCCCATCACTTGAGCCAGCGGAGGTCGGTGCTGGGGGTCCCTCTCTGCTGGAAGCCAGGCGACGCCCAGGAGAGAGGTGAGTGGAGCCCCAGCATTAGGTACACTGCGTGGGATGATGGTTCCATACCGAGCAGCCTTCTCCTCTTATGAACTCGGGGAGGGGGGGGGGGAAGAGAAGCACCACCTCTGCTTCTCAGGATGCAGCCCTGAATAGGTGTTTAGACATCCCACCTCCCAAAATATCCCTGCAGGGAAAGGACACCGGGGCTCCAAAGCTGCATCCGCGGAGTGTTTCCACGGCGTCCGAGGGAGGAGAGCGAGGAATGCACTGCAGTGACAGAGAGAGAGGGAGGGAGAGAGAGAGAGGGAGAAGGCGAGGGAAAAGGAAGGGGCGCTCCAAGGCGGAGGAAAATCCGGGAAAGGGGGGGGGGGTCTCCCTTCGACAGGGGCTTTGGGAAGGTGACTCGGGAGGTGGATCTTTCTGCCGCCAGGCATTCCCTTCTTCCTCCCATCCTCCCTCTTTTCCCGGGGAGAACCTGGAGGTTGCTAGACAACAGTCTGCAAGGAGGAGGAAGGAGCAAGCGGGGGGGGGGGGGGGGGGCTCTCTTCCCTTTCCCCTCCGCCCCTTCTGTGGCTCAAAAGCACCCCTCCTGGTTGGGGGAGGGCATCCAGCAGAGGGCGAGGGGCTTACGACCCGCTCCAGACCCCCCCTCGCCCCCCAGCCCCTCCCCGTCCGTTTAGGCCTCCCTCGCTTCTCCTGGACCAAGATCCCAGGAGCCACCTGCCACCGCCAGAAGAGAGAGGATCCCCCCCCCCCCGCTTGCTTCTTCTGGACCAGGAGCCCAGAAGAGGAGATTACGGAAGAGGATCTCCTCCTGCTGCTGCTCCCCCTCCTTCTTCTAGACCAGAATCCTACAAGAGAGAAAATCTCCTCCTCCCTCCCTCCCCACTCCTTCTGGATCAGGATCCCAGAAACGGAAACTACAAGAGAGAGGATCTCCTCCTCCTGTTGCTGCTCCCCCTTCCTTCTTCTGGATCAATATCCCAGAAGGGAAGATTACAAAAGAGAAGATCTCTTCCTCCTGCTTCCCCCTTCTTATGGACCAGGATCCCAGAAAGGAGGCCGATAAGAGAGAAGATCTCCTCCTGCTGCTCTCTCCCTTGCTTCTTCTGGATCAGGATCCCAGAAGGGGAGACTACAAGGGAGTGGATCTCCTCCTCCTCCTGCTCCCCCTTCTTCTTCTGGACTAGGATTCCAGAAAGGGAGACTACAAGAGAGAGGATCTTCTCCTCCTCCCTCCTCCTCCTCCTCCTTGCTGCTGCCACACAAGCAGCCCTGAGAAAGATGACCCCCTTAGGAGGACACCACCCAGCGGCCAGGTCGTGTGGTGGATTCTGGGAGTTGTAGTCCCACTGGAACTACAACAACCTGGAGAGCGAACGCCACGCGCCCGGCCTGCCCTTGCTTCCCACCCCACCTCCCTCAGAATCCCCCGGAGAGCCTGAACAGCGCGGGAGGGGTGTGTGTGTGTGTGTGTTCCTTCCTTCCCGGCCCCAGAGCAAAGCCGAGCCGGGCTAATCCCTCCGGCGTCGCCGCGGCTTCAATCCCGGCCAGGTTGCTTCCGTGAGGGAGCCCCTCCCAGCCCTGCGCGTGGCTTCTCCTCCCCCGGAGACAACAGTAACCCTCTCTCTCCTTTGCAGATGGTGGACCCGGTGGCGGAGGAGGAGGCGGGCGCGGAGAAGGGCGGGGCCGCCGCCGCCGCCGGGAGCGCAGCAGGTGGAGGAGGAGGAGGAGGAAGCGGAGGCGAGGCGGCGGCAGCAGCGGATGGGGAGGCGGCGGCTCCTTCTTCGGCCGCGGATGCCGCGAGCCCCTCGCTCCCTTCCACCCCGGTGGCGGCGGCGGCAGCAGCAGGAGCAGCTCCCCCGGGGCCCGCCGCGTCGCCCGCTCCCTCTTCTCCGGCGGTGGCAGGGGAGGCGTCGCCGCTGCTTCACCTGGACCTCTTCAACTTCGACTGCTCGGAGGCAGAGGGCAGCCGCTACGTGCTGACCAGCCCCCGCTCGCTGGAGGCCTGCGCCCGCTGCGCCGTGAAGCCCGTGGAGCTGCTCCCGCGCCCGCTGGCCGAGTTGGTCAAAGAGGCGCCCGGGCGCTCGCTGCGAGTGGCGGCCGGACTCTACGAGGTCTATGAGGTGGAGAGGCAGCGCAAGCTGCTCCAGTGCCGCGAGGAGCGGGAGAAGATCATCCGCGAGGAGAAGCGGCGCCTCTTCGCGCCCCTCCTGGGCTCCAGCGGCACCAGCCTCCCGGCCTCCCCGGCCTCCGCCTCCAGGATGGCCTTCCGGGGCTCCTCCGCCACCCTTGGCCTCAATGGCACCTGCAGCCCCAAGGGCCACCCGCAAGGCAGGGCCGGACAGCACCCGCCTCCACCTCGGGCTTCCGGCGCCCGGGCCAAGAAGAGCCACTCGCTGGACTCCTTGCAGAAGAGGCGGGAAGGCCTCTCCGCCAAGACCTCCTCCGACTCTGGGGCCTCCTCGTCCTACAGTGGGGACAGTTGGAAAGACAAGTGGCCCAAAGGAACGGAGCCACCCAGGACTAAGACCGTGGCCACCATGACCTCCCTGGTGGGCCGCAGCTTTAGCCTGGGTGACTTGTGCCACTCCCCACAGACCACCCAGAAGGTGGAGCGTATCCTGACCGAGGTCAAGCGCCGGGGAGGCCTGCGGGAGGTTCCCGAGAGGGACCGCAAGATCGCGGCTCTGATGATTGCCAAGCGTCAGGAGGAGAGCCTCCTCAACGCCCAACGTTACAGCGCCCACCTGCAGTGGGACAGCCAGAGGCGGCGGGCCGAGCAGAGGAGGGAGCAAGAGGAGCGGGAGAAGCACCGAGCCCTGGTCCAAGGTCAACGCATGTGGGAGTCCCGGCTGGAGAAGCACCGGCGCCGGCGGAGCTCCGAGCAGGAGGAGGCCGCCTTGCAGAAGCAGCGGCAGAGCTTGATGATGGAGGAGAAGTGGCAGGCACACCTGGAGCGGCAGGAGAGGCTGAGGAAGGCCAAGCTGGAGAAGGCCGCCCAGGAGGACAAGCGGAAGAAGCGCCACCAGGAGCACAACCTCAAAGCGCAGGAAGAAGGCAAGAAGGAGGCAGTAGAGCGAGAGGTCCAGCTCCTGCAGGACAAGTTGGCCCTGGCTGCCCAGAAGAAGCTTCGGAAGGAGCAGCTGCTGCAGAAGGAGAAGCAGATGCTCAACCAGGCCGAGAAGCGGAAGCACGAGACCATCCTCAAGGGGCTAGCAAAGCAACAAGTGGAAGAGAAGGCCATGCTGCGGGCTTCCGTGGAAGGGAGCCTGAACAAGGCTCAGGAGAACTATGAGCAGCTGGTGGAGAAGAGGAACCGAGAGCTGCGGGAGAGAGCCAAGCGGGAGGAGAGGCAGATCCAGAGGGCCAAGCTGGCTGCTGAGAAGAGGGAGAAGGAGCAGAAGGAGCACCTGAAGGCCATGGCCAAAGTCTCCGAGAGGAAGCTCCAGCATGCGGCCCAAGTCGCTGAGGAAGTTGTCCAGCAGAAAGCCCGGAAGGTGGTCCAGAGCCGGCTGGAGAAGGAGAAGGTGCAGAAAGTCAACAAGAAGAAAGTTGAGCAGTGCGAAGATATCCGACGCAGGGAGCTCCTCCTCTCAATTGAGAAGAAGCTAGAAAGGAGTGAACAGATCTGTAAGGAGAAGAAGAACGTTTTGGAAAATGCCCGGTCTGTTGCTCGGGCATCGTTCCATGTTCGGGAAAGGGTCCGGGAAGAGATGAACATCCGTACGTTTGACAAGATGGCCTTTGAAGCAGAAATGCAGGCCACGCTGGTTAAAAAATAGATGCTTTTCCTCCTCCTTTCTGAATAAGTGGAGATATATCTTCCGATGGCCATTGTCAAAAGTTCAGACATTTAAAAAACCTTTATGTATTATTTTAAAGAGCACACAAACTATGGCAGCTACGTCACAGACCTTTACTCTCTCCTTTTGTTATACATATGCAAAATCTGTTTCAGGTGTATCTCATCCTTTGTTGAACAAAAATAGTATACAATTAACAAAACAGGGACATACCATTTTTATATAGCCGAATGCTATGCTAATAACTTCCCTGAAAGCTAAAGGTTATTGCAATTTCCCTCAAATAGTGAAATAGCAGCTACTTTAATTGTAACACATTGAAGACTTAATTTGAAGACATTCACATTAGAAGTGGGCTGCTTGCTGGAACTTGTACAGAGTGGCCCAGAAGTCACGAAGGGGTCCTATATATACTGTATATGACTTATAGTATTGGATGCCATTTATGAGATATGATTTTTCACACCTAATGTAAATTTATTTCCTATATATATATATTGTATATGATGCGATGGTATTGTAAATTAAAAGCAAAAAATAAAGGAGTTATTAAATATTGAAACCCCTTTGTGACTTTTCGCCCATCCTGTACTTTGCACTATGTATCCTTACTTAGGAAGATTTTATTTTTTAGTGTTTGGTCCATACAGTGCACTTAAATCCATGCTATTGGAAACATTGGGGCTTGTAATATAATTTTGAAAACAAAATGGAAATAGACATCTGATTAGTCCTGATCCATGAGACAAAAACAATGTTCAGGCATTTTTGTTCAAATAAAATGACAAACACTTCAAAGGTGTTTATAGTTCCTTCCATTCATTATTTGAAGACAGTTTCTTTATTATTGATTTACAACATTTGTAATTGAATTGTTACCAATGTGTGAGGCCGCTCTGAGTCCTCTTTGGGGAGAGAATGGGACTCAGAGCGGCCTCACACATTGGCAGCAATTCAATGCCATAAAAACATACAATTAAATTAACATTTACATTAAAATGCAGAATTAAAACATTAAACAATTACATCAGTTATTAAAATCATGTCCAAGATCATAGTCCAGAGCCATTCCTGATTGTCATTGCACCAATTCTCCATTCATTTATTGCGCTGCAGTTACTCTCTGAAAGCTTGGTCCCATAGACAAGTTTTAATTTTTTTTCTGAATGCTAGGAAGGAAGGAGCTGATCGAATATCCCTGGGGAGGGAGTTCCACAGCCAAGGCACCACCACTGGGAAGACCATGTTTCTTGTCCCTACTAATCACGCCTGCAAATGAGGCGGGACCAAAAGCAGGGCCTCCCTAGACGATATTAACCTCTGAGATGGGTTATAGACAGCTGGGTCATAAGCATTTAGGGCAATTTTTCTAAACCTGGGGGTCAGGACCCCTGGGGGTGTCTCAAGGAGGTTTCAGAGAAAATACAAATATGTGTTTTCAAAGACCATTAGAAAACACATATTTGTGATGATCTTTGGCAGAGAAGGCTAAATATCTCTTCGCCTGTCCTTCTCTTCCTTTTTGTGTGGAGGTGAACTACAACTCCCAGAATTCAAAACCGCCCCCCCCCAACCCCACCAGTATTCAATGTTGTCCATGTAGGTAGTGTGCCAAGTTTGGTGCAGATCCATTGTGGGCTGGGCTCAGAGCGCTCTTTGATTAACTATAGGTTAACTATAAATCCCAGCAATTACAACTCCCAAATGTCAAGGTCTATTTCCCCCAAACTCCATCAGTGTTCACATCTGGGCATATTAAGTATTTGTGCCAAGTTTGGTCCAGATCCATCATTGTTTGAGTCCAGTGCTCTCTGGAGGTAGGTGAACTGCAACTCCAAAACTCAAGGTCAAACACTTCCAGTCTTTTTTGTTGGTCATGGGAGTTCTGTGGGCCATATTTGGGTCAATTTTATTGTTGGTGGAGTTCAGAATGCTCTTTGATTGTAGGTTAACTATAAATCCCAGCAACTACAACTCCAAATTGACAAAATCAGATATTTGTGTGCCAAATTTGATCCAGTGAATGAAAATACATCCCGCATATCAGATATTTACATTACAATTCATAACAGTAGCAAAATTGCATTTGTGAAGTAGCAACGAAATAATTTTATGGTTGGGAGTCACCACAACATGAGAAACTGTATTAAGGGGTCATGGCATTAGGAAGGTTGAGAACTACTGGTTTAGGGCTTTATAGGCAAAAGCCAGCACTTTGAATTGTGCCTGGTAGCAGACTGGCAGCCAGTGTAGCTAACATAAGGGGAGTTGTGTGCTCCCTGTACACTGCTCCAGTGAGCAATCTGGCTGCCATCTATTGGACCAATTGAAGCTTCTGAACAGTCTTCAAAAGCAACCCAATCTAGAGCATGTTGCAGTAGTCTATTAAGAGCATGGACCACTGTAGCCAAGTCTGACTTCCCAAGGTATGGACGCAACTGGCATGCAAGTTTTAATTGTGCAAAAGCTCCCCTGGCCACCTTTCAAGTTGTATCTGAGAGTTAATGTTTGCAGAAAGTGGCAGAAATAGCAGGCATAATTAGTATTGTCTCACAGCCTAGTCTGCAATTGTTATTATACCAAGAGTGATTGGAACCAAATTCAAAACTACAGCTGCATTCAAGTGTATTTCATTTGTGTCATAACCAGTTGTGACCAATGTGCACAATATAATAAGAGAGCATTGTGTCTCATTGTGGTGCATAGAAACTAGGCCATATGCTGAAGGTAACAACATCTCCACTTATGCAGAGCATGAACAGAAGCACAGATACAATGAGCTGTAGGGGATAATTATGAACAACCCACAGACTCATGGTAGCAGTATTTCTTCAGATCATCAAGAGTCTGCAACAAGGTCTCTTGGAATGTATTTTGTTTAATTGTCCATTGGTGCTAAACAAAATAGAAATACATAATTTAGTTTTGCAATATCTCTGTTTTGTTCAGCAGATATATTTTATAGTTTGGAAGAATGAGTCTCTTTGCATAGTGTGCCTGTTCCCCCTTAGAATCATTCTTTCTAGAAAGAAACTGCCATCTTCATTCTCTGTTTAGCTGTTAACATCCCACTTGGCAAGAGAAACCTTTTGATCTGTTCCTTGTAAATCCAAGGTATAGCAGATGCTTCATAGACTAATGGAATCATAGAGTTGGAAGAGACCTCATGGGCCATCCAGTCCAACCTCCTCCCAAGAAGCAGGAAAACTGCATTCAAAGCACCCCGATAGATGGCCATCCAGCCTCTGTTTAAAGCCTCCAAGAAGACGCCTCCACCACACCCTGGGGCAGAGAGCTCCACTGCTGAACAGCTGTCACAGTCAGTAAGTTCTTCCTAATGTTCAGGTGGAATCTCCTTTCCTGTAGTTTGAAGCCATTGTTCTGCATCCTAGTCTCCAGGGCAGCAGAAAACAAGCTTGCTCTTCCTCCCTATGACTTCCTCTCACATATTTATACATGGTCATCATGTCTCCTCTCAGCCTTCTCTTCTTCAGGCTAAACATGCCCAGTTCTTTAAGCCACTCCTCATAGGGCTTGTTCTCCAGACCCTTGATCATTTTAGTCGTCCTCCTCTGGATGCTTTTCAACTTGTCAACATCTCCCTTCAATTGCTGTGTCCAGAATTGGACAGGGAGTGATTCCAGGTATGGTCTGACCAAGGCAGAATAGAGGGGTAGCATGACTTCCCTAGATCTAGACACTATACTCCAATTTATGCAGGCCAAAATCCCACTGGCTTTTTTTGCTGCCGCAGCACATTGTTGTCCACAAAAACTCCAAGATCTTTTTCACACGTACTGATGCTGAGCCAGGCGTCGCCCATTCTCTATCTTTGCATTTAATTTTTTTCTGCCTAAGTGGAGTATAAGAGCGCTCCATGCAGTCATGCTGGCCACATGATCTTGGAGGTGTCTACGGACAACACTAGCTCTTCGGCTTAGAAATGGAAATGAGCACCACACCCCAGAGTCAGACACGACTGGACTTAATGTCAGGAGAAAACCTTTACCTTTACTTAAGTGGAGTATCTTGCATTTGTCCTCATTGAACTTCATAGCAAAAGATGCGCTCTATTTGTGGTACTGCAAGCTGCTATTATAGAAATGCAAATGTCACAAATAGAAGAGTTATCATTTTAAATGTTTGAATCTTTATATGCCTGTAAATGCAAGAAGGTTGAATATAAGAATTATGACAATATCTTTGCTGGGTGGATTTTGTAACAAGTGTTTCTTCAAAGTTGCCTCCAAACCAGCTGTGATATATGATGTTATTTTTAAAAGCATACAGCAGTGTGGCACATAATAAGAGTAATATGAAATTGAGAAGCAGCTAAACATGAAAAGATGCAACACGGAAAGAAAGAATGTTAATGAAATTCCATTTTATGTATGAATCTCCCCTTTGCTCTGTCACTTGTATAGTATAACTTTTAAAAGGGGTCCTCAAACTAAGGCCCACGGGCCAGATGCTGCTCTCCAGGGTCATTTACCTGGCCCCTGCCCTAAACTTTAGACTTAGGGCAGTCCTAAGTCTGAAATGACTTGAAGACACACAACAACAGTCTTGACTATCTCATCAGTCACACTTCCCATTGAAATACTGGCAAGTTTATGTTGGTTATATAATTCCTAGGAACAAACTAAGGCTGCACTGTAGTTCATCAGCCTCCTTCCAGTGTGTTTATTTGGAAATATGTCCTTGCTGCTAAATGTGACTTTATTGTTGTTATTGCATGCCTTCAGGTTATTTCCAACTTAATGGCAGCCCTAGGGTGAACCTGTCATAGATGTTTTGTGGCAAGTTTTGTTCAGAAGGGCTTGGCCATTGCCTTCATCTGAGATATGATAACTAAAGTCATCCAGTGGGTTTCCATGGCCAAGTTGGAATTTGGATCCTAGTCTTCAGAGTCATAGTCCAGCACTTAAGACACTAAACCACGCTGGCTCTCTAAATGGGAAACATTTTATTTGCCAAATAAAATAAAATAAAAAGCAGCTGTAAGAGGCTTCAGTCTTGGGGAAAAGGTCAACGTACATCAGAGGGACTATTTAACCATTTCTCTCTAGCATTGAATCTTTTTGTTTTTCCTTTATTTTCTTGGTTCTTTTTATTTAGTGGGACAGGGAGTTGGGAAAGTGTGGGACAGGTGGGTGGGGTGACATGCACATTTGTGGACCTGCTATGAACTGCTAAAACTTAAAATAATAACTCAAAAACATAGTTGTTTTCCCCCAAACATGGATAGATTTCTCACAATACATTTTGAAAATGTTTTTCCCCCAGTGGATCATACAGGAGTATTGTTCTAAGAAGGGGACAATGCTTTCTTGCTGCTGCTACTGGCCTTTTCCAGTATGGTTTGTGAGAAAAAAAAGAAATGCAAAGGCTTTGGAAGAAGTTGTTTACTGTTGTCGTTTTTTTTATTAGTAAAGAAGAAAGTGTAATAATGGGGTACTTGGTTGTGTGATGTGGAAGTGCATCTTTGACATTTGGCTGGAAGGAATGGTGCCCTGCTGCTGCTCCTGGAGAAGTTACAGGCCAGGGCCAGCGAGGGATACCTTTTGGGATTTTAGGGAGATTTTATTTTTAAAAAAGAAAATAAAGTCCTAAAAATCAGGGGATGACCCAAACTTTATGAAACTTGGCTAGCAGTGGTTGATGTGTTCTCCAAGTGTGGTCATTTTCATCCTGATAGCCCTAATCAATGTGCTGGATCTATCCACATTTTTCAGACCGAAAACAGCTATCCAGCTACTATTTTGTTTTTGAGAGGTGCACAAAAACAAATCCTGGGT